TGTACTCTTTGACTTATCACAATTAATACTAGATTTAGTAATGAAAGATGTTGATACAAAAGAATGAGTACCTCCTGAATCAAACAGTACATAAGCAGGTGTATCAGATATCAGTAATATACCTACTATCACATTTGAGTTCTCCTCTGCATCATTCTGAGTCATTGTAAACACTCGTCCGTTCTCCTTCTTGTTCTGATCATTGTTATCATCCTTCTTCTGAGCAAATATGGGACAATCCCTAGCAATATGTCCTGGTTTACCACAACGAAAATAGGTATTCTTCCCATACAAGCATTCTCGACAATGAGGTTTACCACACTTAGGACATGGCACCACTGCAGCTACTATGCCCTTACTAGCACTAGGTCTAATATTAGCCTTCTTATTTTACCATTTGTCTTTTCCTTTATCTTGATCATTCCATTTTCTCTTTCCAACATATCCTTTGTCCTACTGGTTGTACAACTGATGGTGTTGCTCCACATTTGCCTTTTGATACCAAATAGCGTAAGCTCATTCCAACATCTCACAGTATGATGTGAAACGATGTGACATAAGAATCATGCTTAGGTATGGGTTTAACCCTTGCTCAAACCTTCGAGTCTTCTTAATTTTCGTGTCCACCAGGTGTGGAGCATTCCTTGAGAGTTGGTCAAATTTTTGCTCATAATCAATCAGGGACATATTACCCTGTTTGAGCTAAAGGAATTCGTTTTCCTTGAAATCCCTTAGAGACTGAGGAAAATACTTGTCCATCACTTCCTCCTTGAATTGTTCCCAAGTTAATGTCAACTGCTGGTCCGAAATCCTAGTTTGGGACATCGAATCCCACCAATGACTTGCCTCATCGGTAAACATAAACTCCACACACTGGACCTTTTGGGCGTCAGTGCAATTGATGAGTTAAAAAATTCGCTCTAACTTACGAAACCAGTCTTCAACTACTAGTGGACCAGATGCTCCATCGAAGAAAGGGGGCTTATGCATTTGAAATAACTCAACCACTGAGGCATGAGTCGGGAGAGCAATAGGAGCTGGTGGTGTAGGTGGAGCTGGATTCTGATTTAGCCTGCCAAGATCTTGAATCGCTTGCAGGAGATCCCTTATCAAATTGTTCTGGTTTACTCGAGACATTTTCCTAAAGACAAGATATAATATCTCACATTAACTTCATTTTCAAACACTAGAAAAAAATCTCAACTTGATCAAAATTGTTTTTTTATTTAGTACTCCTTGAAATCAAGATATACAATAATTCGATAACTTTTTACTTTCAATAACATAAAGGAAAAGATATCACAAGGAAATGGAATCTAATTTCTAATCCCTATGAATTTTGCAAGTCTTCTTTGGTGGAGATTCATCTTTGGAAGAGTCTTCTGCCTCAGGTCCTGACTCTAGGTCCATCTCAACCTGTGGTTCAAGTTCATTCTCATGATCATTCTTTAATTCCAACCTAAAGTCATCATCATCCTCCCATTCAGGATCTTCTTCTGGGTCTGATTCAAACTGAGGTTCAGGCTTGGGCTCAACCTTATCGTTGGGCTCAATTACTATCTTCGGTTGAGGTTCTAAGCTCTCGCTCCATTTTTCTAGAATAATCTGACAATATATACCGAATTCAATCGTATTTGGGGTGCTCTAGAGGGTTACTTTCTAGCATCTCATCCCTAACCATAACTCCCATGTTTCCCCATTGAGGAGGGAGTGAATATATGAGGTTATTCATAGCCTCGATATGCGTGATCTTCGGTTCCGCATCTACTGCTACCATACATCCCTCGTAGATGTCATGTATGTGTTCAACAATTGTACGAGACGGGTCAATCACATAGTTTTCATAGGACTAAATGGTGGACCTACGATTCAACGCTGCTTTACAAGTTGTGGCCTTTCTAGTGGTCAATCTGCCACATAAGTGTCTAATAATGTTTTATCTCTGTTACTGATGTCAACTTATACAGTATGCTCTTGAGATTTAATATAATGAGCAATCATCATTTCTTCATGTATATTTAAACAAAATATAACTTACATAACATATTTCATTCTAAACATCAAAAGCATTTTTCATAGATTCAAGCTTAAATGAATTATAAATGATGCTCAAAAAATAAAGTGGAATATAATATTTTATTCCATAACTTGGGTTCGTCGGATGAGGTCAACTGATGGATGCAAGATGTCATGAAGTGCCTTAAATGTTTCATTTTTCTCATTTCATAAATAAGATACACTAAGTCTACAAAATCGATTAAACCTGACTCTGATACCACGTCGTAATGCCCCAACCCGCATGGATGGAAACGTTTCTCAAACCATTGTATCTCGGCGTTAGACTTAGAAATTATTTAAAATAAAATTTTAATTAACTACTCCTTTCACCGAAACATAAAACATTTAGTTTTAAAAAAATTTCCTTAAGCTATATTTTTCCTAACATGCAGTATACTATAAAATTATAAAATAAACTCGTTTGCATAGTTATCAATGTCAAAATTTCATAAAATTTTAAAGAAGAGTAGGGAACATCTTATAATATAACATATCCCATAATTTGGCTTTCGTCGATGACATATAAGGCGTTAAAATATTTTCCAAAATCCCGCTAACACAAACTAAATAAAGTTGTTTTCTTTTCTATCTCGTTGGGTAAGTGTCAATAAATTCATTTGTATAGCTATCGATCTCGAAACTTCATCAAATTTAGTATGAAGTAGTAAACTCCTCATAATATGACATAATCAAAAATTAGCTTCCATCGGCATCATACGAGGTGTTAAAATATTTCTCAAATCCTAGTAGCCACCCAGTTGAAAGGTAAACATGTGCAGTTCACTTAAAATGACATGTAAAATTCCACGGACATCAAAACCACACGATTTCAAATTTATTCAGTAGTTAATCCATGAAAATATCAAATTCAATTGGTTTCATTCAGAAATTCCAAGTAACGGTCGAGTTAGGAAATTTTGAAGTCAAGGCAGAAGCTGGGCATACAACGCAGTTTACTTTATTCAACATATAAAATTCTATTGACATTGGATTGAAATGATTCAAAGTTCATTCAATAGATAAGTTATAAGACTATCCAACGCCACTGGTTTTGTATACAAATACCAAGTAATGAAGGAATTATAAATTTTTAAAAACGAGGCAGAATCTGAATTTTTTTTTAAGAGACAGCAAAACTTTAAATCGCTAACATATATATTTTTTTGTAAACAGGGGTTTGTAAATTTATTCTTATGAAACATGTCTATGTTCAAAGATAAATTTATTAATAAAGAATATTCATAGAATAGATCCGCACAAAACATACATAGAAATCTAATTTAAAGAATAAACATATACATTTCATAATCAACTACAGATATTAAATCACCGGCTTCTCCATGGCATGTAACATCATCCTTTATTATCATCCACTCCCCAAGAAAAATTCATTCAACCTGTAGGAAGGAAATTAACCCATGAGTTTGAAACTCAATAGATATCATCGGTGCATTTCGTTATCAAATTAGAAATTTCAAGTTATAGATTTATACCATTGCACGTAGATGGATTTCCAGCAAAATCCAAATACAATAGCATTATCATAACACATAGAATCGGAGAATGATCATTCAAACTATTGTAGTACCGAAATATCGTACCTAGAGGTACCATTTCATTAAAACATTTATCGAAAATCATAATTTGAAACGAAGTAAACACTTCCTCGCACGTAGATGGATTTCCAGCAAAATCCAAATACTATAGCATTATCATAATATGTAGAGTCAGAAAATAATCATTCAAACTATTGTAGTACCAAAGCATCGTACCCGAAAGTACCATTTCATTCAAACATTTATCGAAAATCATAATTTGAAACGAAGTAAATACTTTCAACTCTATATACCTTGAATTTTCTGGGATATGAAAGAACAAAATGTGTAGAAAACTTTTCTTCTTCTCATCATTGTTATTCCCTTAGCTTAAATTGACATGAAATATATTTTTTTAGGAGAAAATGAGATGAAATTTGGATTTGAAATTAATCAAAATTTCTTTATTTTTTAATCATTAAATTTAATTTTCTTTAAAAAATTGTATATATTACAACAAGTTGTTCGTGTGTAATTTTTAACTCCGTCTACTTAAAATTGATGTAGTCGGTCCCAAACCCGAATAAAAGGAGGAGAGTTTACATTTTATTTACTTTAAAAAGAAATCAAAAATATATATTTTTTTAAAAGTATTTCAAAAAATAATTCATCTTCATTATATAAATATTTTATACTTTATAAAAAATATTACAATATAATATAAATAAATAATTATTTTCGTTAAATTATTTGTATTTTTTAACACTTTTTATTTTTTTTAAAAGTGTTTTCTATTATTTCATTTATTTGTAAAACTCTTAAAAAAAATAAAAAAAATTGGACGAGCCCACGAGCCAAAGCTCGACTTGGCCCAAGAGCTTGTGGACCGAGCCTAGCTCGCCCAAATTCAACTAGCCGAGCCCTAACTGGCTTATTGAAAACGAGCCGGCTCGGCCCATTGCCACCACTATATACCAAACTATATAACACCGTAACAAAACTAAGCCCTATTTGATAATTATTATTATTGTATAAAAGTGATGTTTTGAATAGTAATTTTTTGGAGAATGTGTGATTAAAAAAATAAGAAAAGGTTTTGAATGTATGTGCAAAATATTTTATTATGTAAATGTGTGATTAAAAATGAGAGTGAAAAATAATTATTTTGTTTTAAAAAAAAAAAATCAAACAAGAGCTAAGTTATATATCATTCAATTCGAACAAAAGAAAGTTAAAACTTTAGTGCATGTTTGATTCTGATTTATCACCTCCACAAAAATCAATTTTTTGACCGTTGTGTCCTAAGTCATCCGTCATTTTTCACTTCATCTCTCACAGTTGGGATCCACTTTTCTCTCTAACAGTCAAAAAATAATTTCATAATCACTATCGAACAAGTCCTTAATCTGCCAGAATAGGGATTAAGAATTAGCCACGCTCTTATGAAGGACGATAACACCAAACAAATTTGTTTTCTGAACAAATGAAAACAAAATGCATCTTGCACATGTGAGAACAAGCACTGCTCATGATAATATGCATAAAAGGCTATCAAACAGATTTACAAGCAACATTAAAGACTAAGGATAGAATTTTCTGAGGGTGGGCTTTCAGGAACAATAGTAGGATCATCCACCTTCATTTTCAGGCAACTAAACTCCAAAGCTAAAATTGGCTTCGACAGCATAACAGATAAGCTCAGGTTCCTTTTATCTTCTCCAGTGTCAATTTCAGAACTTTCTCCTTCCGAGGAAGTTCTCCCATCCACATCCGACACAAAGGGCCTCGAGATTTTTGCTGCTGGTATTGCCCTTACCCTGCACAAGAACTCTCTTATTGGCACTTAACAATTAAATATTGAGCCATTTCATTTACCTATCTTATCTTCTTTACTACATTAATGAAAACTCAAATCATATGATTCAATTTCCAACTAATCTGCATCATTTAATTGTCACGAAGTTTACATAGTGTTTGTTAGATGTAAAAACAGGGTGCATCTGTAGATGCTTGGGACAGACAGCAAACATTGGTATATCTAGTATGCTCCTGAGATTGTAACTACGTATAAGAATCATCTATGCGCATGCAAATATCAAACCGTAGCCAAACCTGCACTCAATCTGACAAGAGTACTTGAGAAGGTGAGGATTATACTCTGTGCGGCCACTGCAATGAAAAGCAAGAGAAATTTATTAATTTCTCAAAAAGAGACAAGGAATGAACCCCCCAAAAAGGGAAAAAAAAATGTTCACCTAAAACTTGGAAGTGAGATCTTGATTACCGGGCCTATCCACTTATTAGAATCAGGTTGAGGTACTGTCGTTCGGTAGATAGCATAACACATTGTTGAAGAAAAAAAACAATTATTTAGAAGAATATAAAATTATTAGGCCAAAAGCACCTATAATATTGATTAATGATCATCTAAAAAGGCAACCTCAGCTGAATGAACAAGGAAAACGAGCACAGGAAGGGATATTAGAGGGTTTGATTTTCTTAAAACCTACATTCTGACATTAAAACACTTATCTTTCCCAAAAACAAACATTAATGGCTCACTTTTAGTCAATCAACACAGGCATAAGCATAGAAACAAAACATTTTAACCTACTTACAGGTAGTACCAAGGTTGATACTGCAGATATCCTTTGCCGCCTCACCATTGCCTTCACTTACTCGTATGTTCATACAACTGCTTGTAGTATCAGGAGAATCGGCCATGCCAATCATGTTCAGGAAGCCACCAAATCTACTTTCCGTTGTCTTAGGAAGTGCTGTAATTTTCTGTAAGTCAACAGATATCATATTACTCACTAAAGCTAAGCGCTTCATTTAAAAATGAATTAAGTAATAAATTCAGAATGAAGACTAATGGTGATGGCTGACACCTGACTCCGTACAAGGAAGAGAACTTAGATAGTTTGAAGACATTTCACATACGCTAGATATTAATGACAATCAAACTCTTGAAATTTTAATTGATATTAAACTGACTTTGATTTATAATTAGTGCAGATTGTGGTGTACAGATTTAGACTCACCTTTGAAAACTTGGCAACTTGACTTGGAAGTCCAACATCCTGCAATTGCACACAAGAAAGATAATGCAGGACACCAGCTCATAAAACAAATTCCGGGTAAATCATTTCTGTCTCCAATGACGACATATTAAATATTAAAACAAGTATTTAAGAACACTACCTTTCTGCCATGGATACAAGCTTCATCACTGTTCACCAGTACTCTTGCAGCCCATCTGTTGGCAAAAGAAATTCAAAGCCTATTTGCCAAAGTAAAGATTTGTATATAGACTAAGATGATGATAGTTAAAGTAAAAATAATTAGTTTCACTGGGAGCATTATCTTTTACAACTTTGAAGTAGCTAATCTTACACCTTTACTTTACTTTTGAGGTACTGGATAGAAAGAGTAATTTTACTGGTCACTCAAAATGGCTATCAATTGGTATTTTTTCTACTCTAATAGTTCCATCATTTAGATCCATATTGCTTTAATATTGGTATAACTGAATGTCTGGTGATTAACACTCTTGACTGCTTGAAATAATAACTAACGAAATTGTAGAAGATTATGATGAATGTGATCTCATGGACTCAATGGAAACTTTTTCACTTTCCCAAAACCACAAATAAGTGAAAATAAAACCAAACAATAAAAAATGTAACATGAGAAAATGGTTTTGTATCCTTGCTATCAAGCATGAAACAACATATAGAATAGCCACAAGCACGCAGGAATCCAAATTATTATCCACTCCAATAAATTGTAAAGGTTTTAAGTAGTATATGAGTTATCAATGTCATGTATACGAACTATCTATGCATATGCAGGGGATGTGCACATGAAGATGAAATTATGAACACTATTAACATAATCCGTTGATATTATAATATTGTGAAGGAGAAGAAAACTTACGCACAGGATGTAGGTGGGTTCCATACAATTCCTGCTATTACCACAAGCTGCAAAGCATATGGTCATAACAAAATGAGTTACTAATGCTAGTTGATAGTAAAATAAAACTGAAGGCAGTATTTTATCTTTCTCTTAGTATTTCGAAATGCATATTCCTAATAACTTCTAGATAGAAAATTGGAAGTTCTGATGTTTTAATTTTATTATTCTCTAAAATAACAGAAAAAATTTAGTGACCTCACGTGTGTTTATAAGAAATAATTTCACTAAAGAAAAGAATATAACCTCATCAAAAATCCCAGCTGGACTGTCCTCATAATTAGCAAGAAAGAATCCACCAAGGGTATATCTGAAGGTTGCAGAGTACCAACTTGTGTTATTTAAAGAGAATTAACAGATTAAAAGTTCACATATGAATCGATATTATAATAGTATCAGCTATTATATCAACATAAGTACCCAAATGCTTCCACTAATCTGAAATCTTTAGGAATGAAAGCTCTGGCTGTCTCTGATTTGACAAGGTGAAGCTGGTACAAGGCACTGAAACATTACACAGCTCGTTAAAAAACATGCCACTGTTTCTTTTCCCTTAAGGATAGAAAGTCGGCTAAATGAAATGAAACACAATGCTCTACTCAAAGAATGGTAAGATACTTGCCTGCCTTTGAACATCCATGGAGCTTTTCCATATCCCAATGGATAATTTATTTCTTTAGCTTCCATGGTCTTCGGCGACTCAAAATCAAAAGGTTCTTCTACTAATAGTTGCAAAAGGAAAGGAGAAAACGCCCATTGAAAGAGAATGGTGCAAGTTTCATTTGTGATCACCTTTGGAAAGACAAAGACTACAGCATATAGTCAAACATTATCATCCAAAAATATTGAAAATGTAACCTCTACACAGGATTATATTTGCTAATACTATCTCTTCTATCTTTTTTCAGTGGGCGCCGAGAGAGCAGCAGCTCATGAGATAGGTGGACTGATCCATTTTAACTACAGGAATAAAAATAATAATAATAATACAATGTACTTAGCACAAACCACATTATCAGGCTACCTGCAGCCAATTCCATGCCAACTTGCAATATTGAAATTTTATATTACACAAAACTACAGGACCAGTTAAGAAACCGCGAATGTTCTGTATATTTCCAGGCCAAAAATTTAGAATTCCATGCAAGTTGCACAAGTTGGAATTGATTTATATATATATTTATAACGCCAAATGTCAACAACCTAGAGTAGAAGGCTACATAAATTGAATGAAAACAGCCTCGGATGCTGAAGCCCAAAATACCCAACCTGCTTCATACATATTAAAAGAGGCATTGTATTTTTTACCGAAGTGCAAGGAGTTAGTCTAATTCTTTGTGATTTCTGCATATAAAGGAATGTCATATTCAATTAATAAAGTATCATTCACATTTTTCATGTCCTTACATAAATTTTAAAAATTAAATGCACTAGGAATCTTCCTACCATATCAACAAAAGGTTGCTGAAAAAGGGTAAAAATATATATCATTTTTCAGATTCAATCAAGTGCATTTTGTGGCTTAAAAAATGGAAACCTCCCTTTACTTCTAATTAACAACTCTTGACCTAAAATTCTGTGACTTTCAGTCTCCAGTATTTTTATCCCCATTAATATTGTCCACAATGTATTTTCTAGGCATCAAATTTTGGCACATTTGGCAGCTATGAAGAATTAAAGAAACAGAAAATGGGTACTACTTAAAAATGACCGAGTATAATGAAGCAGCACGTGCATGAAAAGAACAACTTGAAATTAAAAATTAAAAAACTTAAACTTAATTTTTCTTGATTTAATGGTTCATGCTAAAAATAAAAAAATAAAAAAGAGAAAGAGCTGAGGAGAAATTTTGAAGAAGTCAAACTTACTGAAGAAATAGTGAAACTGGGAGTTCAATTTGCAGAGTTGTTGTAGGAATCCCAGAAAGAATTGGTTTGAAATGTAAGCTGATTTTGAGTGTGCAAATTAGAGTCTTGGAGAAATAGAAAAATGGAACGAAGGGAAACAGAAATGCTGGTGAGATCATTCGGCAAAGAAAAACTGCGAAAGTGGATAAACTATAAAATATATAAACTAAAGACTAGAGTTTAGTACATGGGAAAGTACTGCTTTTTCTGTCCCCACTTTCAAATCTAAATCCCATCAAGTATTTTCTAAACCAATCAATCCCATAATACCATCCACCGTTTTATCTATAGGGGGCGCCACCGTTTGTCCAGGGAGAGAAACTGCAGTGGACCACCGATCGCCCTATCAAGGTTCATCATCTCGACAGGTGGTCCACACACCTCGATACTTCAGTGGACCACCAATCACCCTATCAAGGTGAGCCACCTCAACGGATCGGCCACGCACCTCAATACTTTAGTTGACCACTAATTACCCTATCAAAGTGTGCCATCTTGATGGATGGCCCACCACACACACCTGAATTGTGTGGGTCACCCACCAAGGTGGCGCCTCCACATATTAGTCCTATCCAGGGCCAAATGGCCTTGGACATGGGGCATTCCTCTTATCTTTTATATAATTATTAATTAGTTAATAGCAATCCTGATTTCATACTTGTTTGATTGTAATTAAAATTAAATTTTTAATAAATTTTGATAAGAATTGATTAAATATATAATTGAAAAATTATGCATCCCATAAAATGTGTAATTAAAATTAACTATTGATTCTCACTATATTTAAATTTAAATTTAAATTTCCACAAAACAAGACATATTCAACTAAATTCGGATAAAGTTCAATGCATTGAATCAAGTAAATAATACATTATTCTTTCCAATGATTTTAATTTTTGCTTTGCTAATTGCTATATTTCCATCAGTTATTATCAATAAGTAATATAAATTCAACTATAGTCATCATTTATTTCATTAGTTATATTGCTGATCTAAAAAAACAAAACACTAGTACGCAATTATAAAAATGACTTTTTGCTGATTAAATAGACAGATACCATTTCCCCAAAGTAGAGGAAGAGTTTTATAGTTTTGGGACCTCTATTGCAATATTACATTTTGATCTATTTTGATTTTATTTTAGGAAATTTTTTCCCAAAACTCTACATCTTAAATATACAATTCAAAAACAAGGATTATGAAATTTAAAATTCACTAATCTAGTGTTAATACATAGTAATATAATAAACCATCCACACCACCCCAAATTTCAATCCCTGGCACCACATGCGGTGGCGAATGAGTGGGGCAGCGACACAGTACGGAGTCACTGCTAGTATGAGCTACGGCACCTTGCTTCGCTGTTGCAGCTGTAGCGACGAGCTGCTCGTAGTGTCGTCGACGACCGTTGCTTGCAGGAAATGTTTAGCTTTCCATTTTTGTTAAACGATTTCCTGTCGACAGAGCTAAAGTGTAAACTGTTCTCGCTTAGCTATCGTTTTTCATCTCTACCTGCCATATTGAACTTAGAGCTAAGAATTTAGGGGTTGGGTTGAGAAATTTGTGTAACAATGAAAGAAAATTATTTGAAATTGATTTAGTGGCCAGTTGTCCGATCAGATCTATTGTGTGATGTGATTGTGCAGGCAGTTGTTTGATCAGATGTGGTGGGTGGTTGTTTCATCAATAAAAGATTACAATTTGATAATTTAAGTAGAGGAAGAGTTTTATAGTTTTGGGACCTCTATTGCAATATTACATTTTGATCTATTTTGATTTTATTTTAGGAAATTTTTTCCCAAAACTCTACATCTTAAATATACAATTCAAAAACAAGGATTATGAAATTTAAAATTCACTAATCTAGTGTTAATACATAGTAATATAATAAACCATCCACACCACCCCAAATTTCAATCCCTGGCACCACATGCGGTGGCGAATGAGTGGGGCAGCGACACAGTACGGAGTCACTGCTAGTATGAGCTACGGCACCTTGCTTCGCTGTTGCAGCTGTAGCGACGAGCTGCTCGTAGTGTCGTCGACGACCGTTGCTTGCAGGAAATGTTTAGCTTTCCATTTTTGTTAAACGATTTCCTGTCGACAGAGCTAAAGTGTAAACTGTTCTCGCTTAGCTATCGTTTTTCATCTCTACCTGCCATATTGAACTTAGAGCTAAGAATTTAGGGGTTGGGTTGAGAAATTTGTGTAACAATGAAAGAAAATTATTTGAAATTGATTTAGTGGCCAGTTGTCCGATCAGATCTATTGTGTGATGTGATTGTGCAGGCAGTTGTTTGATCAGATGTGGTGGGTGGTTGTTTCATCAGATCTGTTATTTAGCCAGGATTTTGGGATGGTGGTTGGTGTTTTGGAAATGGTGCGAATGTGCGATGATTTCCTGATCTGTAGCATGGTACTGTTGTTGTTATTGGTTGTGTTAGTAATAATGCAGGCGTCGATGGTTTTGTTGTTATTGGTGGTCGTGGTGAGGTGGTGTACATTTGGATCTCGACGTTGTTGAAAGTGTTGGTATTGACTATAACCGGGTGTGACCAAATCAATTTTCATTTTGAATATTTGTTACTAGATTTTTGTTAATTGTGATTGTGTCATTTGGTTACATATAATCACTAATTAGATTGACGTGATCATAGACAGTCATACTGAAAACAAACTTGATCATAATTAGTCATAGATAATACAGGTCAATAAAAGTAGTATTTATGGTTATATGTTGGAGTTGAAGGTAGTGGTGGTACATCGAAGGGAATTGTGGTGGCGATTATGGTGTTGTTCTGCGGTGTGTACATATTTGTTTGTGATTATCATATGTGACCAAGTATATGATTAGTATAATTGGTTGTGACCAATTTTTGTATTAATTGTGATCGACTGTGACTTGGTCACATATCGTTATAGTTGATATTGATCTGATCACGATTAGTCACACCTAAGATAAATTTGGTTAAAATTAGTCACAGATAATACAAATCGATGATTTGATTATATACAGTAACTTGAAATTTTTCTAAAAATGGTCTGAGTGTAGGTGGGGTAGGGTAAACGGTTAAATAGGGGTGGTTTTGGAGTAGGTGTCATATCCTGGAAAATGTTTTTCAAATTTTGAAAAAATTTTACATGTGGTATGGATGGAGGTAGGATTTGGGTTGGTGGGTGAGGTCCGTGGGATACAAGGGTGGAAAAATATTATTAATTGATATATTATTCATTTGGTGGGGATACTGTTATCTACTTCCATTAAATTACATTTTATTTTTTTATCATACTTTCAATCACACAATCTTCCATAAAAATAATATTACACGTAAATCGAAAAATTTTCATCCTTTTCATTTATTCATTTTTCAAATAAATACTACTCCTATTTTCATTTCAAAAAATGGAGTCAAGTGAGGGCTTAATTGGGCGAAAATAATTAATTTCAATTAATTATATATTATATATTATTAATTGAAATTAACACATTTTGAAAATAATTTAACAAATTTATTAGTTTTGAAATGTGTTTCTTATACGTAGGAGTTATATACTGTGCCCTTTATTTTAACTAACAATTGGAAGAATCGACAAACTATGGGCTACTTGTAGGCCCAAACAAGTGGGTTTAAAAACAGTTAATTATCTGAATTGATTTATATTAATATCATTATTTAAGAAAACTGGGGGCAAAGGTCGTTATCCTTTGTCTGTTTAATGTAAATCATTCTTATCGTTTTAATTTTGACATTTGAACTCTTAAATCGATCAAACCTTGTGTAATTCACTGATGGCATCCAATTTCGTCAATGTTCCTCCTTGACTAGTCATGTATAGCCTGCTTGATTAAAATGACCAAGGACGTTATGTTCAAAAGTCGAATGGAAAGAAAATGCTTCTTGTACATAATTTTTAAATAATGATGAAGTGACAAAATGTGAGCGGGAAATTATTTGATTGATAAGATTTTAATCCAATTAAATCTCGCTACATCATTTGTTGGTAAATAGTTATGTAAGTTGTGTAAATGTAGCACAATCGGAGATGGAACAATACTTCATCTAATGCAACGTGTCACCTCATAATCTCGTAGCTTTTTTTTTTCTTTTTTTTTTTCCTTAAATTTGCTTTTTAGTGCCCACTAAACTAGACTACATACAGATATGTTCGCATAAAAATGAAAATATTATAATCAACATAATAATATCTGGGTCATGCATGCATTCAAGATATGTTATCGCAAACATTTCACTTTTGACTAATTTCTTTTATTTATTCCAAAATATCACGGGCTGCTATCTTATTCTAAAATCCAATCCCCACTACCTCCCATAAATTAAAAGTAAAAACAACATCAACTGTAAGTCTGAGGAATTAAGTAAATTCATAGTTTGTTAGTTTACAAAGAATCACTCAATACCTCAAATACAATTACATAACAAATTTATTTATCATCTGCCTCGTGTAGTCTTATTGAATGATCTTCTGTTGGTCCCAGACAATTATTATTTCGTAATTTTAGAAACAATTTTACAAAGAAACTCAAACTGCAGAAATGTAAATCGCGAAAATAAAAATAACAATAGATATGTTTTTGCTCCAAAGGAGCCCGGATGTTCAGTTCAAAAAACCTAATCACCCGTTGAGCCTTAGTCAAGAGTATTCTCAAGATTCCACTAAGTTTCACAAAGAAATCGTACAAATGTTCGAAAAAATCAGAGATTTCTTCATTTTATCTCGCCTCCTTTCACACAACTTCTCTCTCAAACAAGATCACACAGATCACTCAACATTTCTTTACAAAAATGAAAAATTACAACACAAAGAATTTCAGATTTTCAGAGAGAATGAGAAAACCACAAAGAAAACCCTCACACAGAGAGAGAAAGAGAGTACACGAGAAAATTCAAGAAACTAAACTGTTCGACTGAATGAAGACTAAGAACCAAGATAAATATCCGTCCAAGTGAATAGTCGATCCAAGGGTTGGGGCTGTGCCACGTGTACGGCACAGCCCAACCCTCATAAGAGGCAAAAACGTTTTTACTGCAAAAAAACGCGATTTTATAAAAACAAGTTTGGGCCTGACTTATTTTGCGAAAACACGGTCCAAAGAAATTTGAGGCAGCCCAGTTTTCAACAT